CTCTGTTACCATGCCAAACACCTGGGATAACCAACGTGGGAAGAGCAAGGGGTATTTTGAGTCACAGCTTGAGGGGCTTCAGGCCATAGTCAGTTGGACTGTTGCTTTGACTCCTGTGGCAAGGCAGCACATCATGGGGGGAGCAAACTGCCCCTCTTGTGGCCAGGGAGTGAAAGAGAGGAAAAGGAAGGGGCTGAGGTCCTCCTACCCCTTTTAATGGCCTTCCCCAGGGGCCAAAAGACCTCCCGTGCTGGGTAACACTGCAGACTTCCCAAGTTCCTTTTTGCGCAACACCCGTTCCCTTGGCGTCTGCAGTGTCCCCTTTCTTGTGACTCACGAGGATAAGGCCTCAGGAGCAGCCCATGGTTTCCAGAACGCCTAGAGAACATATGTGCCTGCCTCTCCTCTTTCCCTGTGTGCTCCTCATTTGGGCGCATTACTGCAAGGGGACCTTGTGATAGCTTTCCACGTGAGATGTTCAAATACAGCGCACGACCCACCTGGCAGTTTTGCCTGGACATTTTATTAATAAGTATAAGAATTGAATTATGTGATCTCAGTAGTGTCTATAGATGAAAATGTGTTTCATCATTAGCAGTTGAGATTTTGGTTAGGAAAAACCTATTTGCTCCATTACAATGTTTTTCTTACCTCTTACCTACTGACCTTAGGGTTCAAGCCACGTATGTTTTCCAGCCTGATGCTAGTCCAAGAACTTTAACCAGCGTACCCACACACTCATATTACGGGGCCTTTTATGGGTCACTTTTTACAGGCCAGAGTAAACTATCTGTCATGCTACTTACATGTGCAGACTTGCAGTAAGTTTGGTTCTTTTACACCTGCATCATTACGTAATTGTTTGAGGACACCTGCTTTGTGCATCCCCCATCTGTCTTGCACATCCTTAAATTCTTCCACCTGCCCTGAGCTGCGTAACTGAAGCTCCCCTATTCTTTTGGTAGGACTGGGGTTTGAACTCAGGGCTTTGCACTTGCAAAGCAGGCCCTCTACCACTTGAGCCACAACTCCAGTCCATTTTGCTTGGGTTACTTTGGAGATAGGGTCTTGAGAACTACTTACCTTGGCTGGCCTCAAACTGCGACCCTCCTGATCTTAGCCTCCCAGGTAGCTAGGATTACAGGCAGAGCTAATGGTGCCCAGCTGAAGCCTCCTATTTAGGTGAAGAACCTGAGGCTCGGTTTGCAGACCTAAAACTCACCTCTACAGCCCCTGTCATGTCTTTTCATCCTGTGTTGCTTTGTTGCTAGATGTGTTCTTGATAAAAGATACTGGTTAGAGCTGTCCTAGCTTCACGGACCTCACTGTCTGTAAGTTCTCAGTCACCGTTGCTAAGTCAGAAGTGTCAGGGCCCCAGGATTCACCCCAGATATCCCCTATGTCCTCTGCACAGTGCTTTCGCCACGCGGAAGTGCTGGGAGTGCCACGCTTCTGACCGTGGCCTCGGCCTCTTGTCAGTCCCACCTCACGTGGTACTCTCCATGCACACCCAGTCTTCTGAAAAGCCTCTCAGACTCAACCCATCCAACACCAAACCCTTGGTTCCACCCAGCGCACACCCCGCAGTAGTAAACAACGCCCCTGCTCGCTGGGCTGAGTCCCGAAGCCTCCGTGGCCCCGTGGCCCCCCTCTCTGACCCTGTGGTTTGTCTGAGCTTGTCCCCCCGCCCCACCGTGAGCACGTGAATGCCAGATGCTCAGTCCATCCACCACCGTGTCCCAGTGCTGTGAGCAGTGCCAGACACTTGGTAAGTCCGCAATACGGATTTGTTGCGTTAATGAAGAATATCCCAGACGTCAGGTCTACTGCCTCACTCATTCCCTTTCACTGAATGCATAAATATACAAGCAGCCCCGTGCTTTTTTTTTCCTTTTTTTAAGGCCACTCCTTGCTTATCTGGCCAGAGCTTATGTCAGCTTCAGAGCAGTAAATAATGAGAGGGTCCTCGTTATCTAGCGCACGCCCCGCTGTCACCGTGCAGTCAGATGCACAGATCGCTCCCGAACACTCGAGTTTGTTCTTCTTCCCTTTCCCCACAGTTGGCACAGTCTGGTCGAAAGATAACCACAACACTCTGGTACACTGCCTCAGTTTCCCCAGCTTAACTGAAAATAAATGTGGGTCTGCGCTGTTCCATCCCTGCTTTCAGGTGACATCAGCCCCTCTCAGGGACGTCACGTGTGGGTGGTTGTCACACTCTTTTGTATCACAAATGACGCCCACGGGTGGCTGTGTAGTACTGAGGACTGGTGCCCCTGGGCCGCTCCTCACCACTTGAAGAAGTAGCAGTTGGCAAGGTTGGCTCGATAGTCTAGAATCATTTAGTCTTGTGCCTCCCAAACCTATTATGCTTTTTTCAAACTCAGGGTCTTGCACATGTTTTTAGAAATGCAGGGGTTGTGATGGGGTCTGGTGTGACGCATGCCACACTCTGCCTCTCCGTCTCTTAGAGATCAGACGCAGATGCCATTTGTGTTCATGGGACATTTCTCAGATCCCCAAGGACCCTCAGATCTGAGTACGCTAATCCGCACGTGAAGCTGCAGGTATTTGTATATGCCCTCCGTGCAACTGTACATCTATAGCTTGCTTATGCCATTAAATAGTTGTGATGTTGTCCTGTTAGGGAATGACAAGGGAAAACAAGGTCTTCATATGTTCAGCAGTTTTCTTCCATGATATATATATATATTTTTTTGTGGTACTGGGGTTTGAACTCAGAACCTATACCTTGAGCCACTCCACCAGCCCTTTTCTGTGATGGGTTTTTTCACAAACTATTTGCCGGGGCTGGCTTCAAACTGTGATCCACCTGATCTCTGCCTCCTGAGTGGCTGGGATTACAGGTGTGAGGCACCGGCACCAGCTCCAGGATACTTTTGGTCCATCTTGAGTTGAATTGGTGGATGAGGAGCCTTTGTGCATAGGGTGCTGAGCTTGTGTTCCTAGTGATAATTAGTGTTACAAAGCAGAAAAAGAGGGGCAGAGAGGAGGAGCGGAGATGACAGGAAGGTAACGTTGAGTCTGCTCAGTGTTTCAGGCAGGAAATGCCATGGTATTCACAGGATGGAAAGCAGCCTAGTGTAGCCTGACCACAGTGAGTGACCGAGGAGAGCTGGGGTACAGGGAGGGAGGGAGGGGTGGGCCGCAGCACAGGAGCCTTGCAACACCTTAGAAGAGTCTGGTCTTGTTCCAAGCTTTCGTGGTCCTGGGACCTGCGTTCTCTATGGCAAATAGATTGCAGAAGCATGAGGCCTGAACTGGTCCCTGGTGATAAGCAGTGAGCCACAGAGAAGGCAAGGTGCTTTCTGGGCGTACAGCTAAGAAAGCCAGAGGCCTCACTGAGGAGCAGAGAGTGGCTGAGGGAGAGGTTGGGGGGAGTGAGGGTGATGCCAGCCGTGCTGGGGGATGTGCCCCAGCTGCCCCTGTGTAGTATGTAGCATGTAAGGTGCCTTTCAGCTGCGTTGGTGGCAAGCGGACATTTGTAAAGCTCTTAGAACGGAGAAGAGCACAGGGGAACACTGTGAACTTAGAACCGATGAGGATGGTGGTCAGTCGTGAGAGGTCACACAGCTGGTCAGCAGCAGGTCCCAGACAAGAGCCAAGGCTGAACCCCCTGGTTTAGTGTGTGTCATGCCACACCGAGCTGCCACCTTCAGTTGCCTCTGAACTTTCCTATTTATGCAGACTCTTGGTCGTCGGGGAACACGATGCGTGTGCTCATTGTGATATCAGTGCATTGCACCAAACATGACAAGTTTCTGGGGTGTTCTGTGTGGCTAGAATTCCAGGTTATTTGGCTGTCTATGAAATGGTGCCATTCCAGACAAAACACAGGGCCTAGATGGTGGAAGAAGGGGGTCCTGGAGGAGAGATGTTCTGTAGATCGTTTTTAAATACTGAAAGAAATAGCTTCCAGAAGGTAGCCGTGCTCATGTCGCCCACACGCCTGTTACGCTACACTAGACACATGCGCTCTCCAGTGGGAGACGGCGTTAAGAGTCCTTCATGCCGGAAGTTATAAGTCGCCATGTGCCAGGAGAAGGGAAGAAATAAGGCGAAGAATGCTGGTGTGCCCCCCCCCACACTGTCAGGGTTCTAGCGATGCAGCTTACAGAAGTGTTTGAAGTGCTTCTATCTGTCAGCTTCAACTAAGCTAATTTAAAACTTGTTTTGTTCTGTGTCTTTCTCCTGACCCTCTGCATTTAATGCATACAATCTGTGGGGAGCCTGTCTGCCTCAGTTCCCACCCCTCAGTCTGAGAAGCAGATTTCAGAAGCGCCCGGTTGCACCTGCAAGGATTGGCCATTTTATCACATGAGACCTGAGACCATTGCCAGTGCATCCTACAGGAAAGGCTTTGGGAAGGGGTGAGCGAAAGTGCCACCCAGCCCTTCCTCCAGCCTGCTCCGCTCCTCTCCTCTCTGTTCCTCATTAGCAGGGAATGTGAGTCATTCCCAGATTGTGTGATTGGGATTCTACAGCGTTGCTCTACGATGCTCTCATTAAATCCGAGTGTCAGTGCGGCCTTTCAGACTGTAGGGGAGAGCTCAGTTACAGCTGGTGACCTGGTTCTCGTTACCACACAGAGACGGTGGCCAGAGCAGTGGCCTCCTCTGAGTACCCAGAATTCCACGTGCATGGCTGTTCCAACCATTTCCAGATTTGGGGGTTTCCTGGTTAACTTCGTGGGCTCCGGTACCCTTCAGCTCTCTGTTTATATCTTCATCGGGATCTGTACACTTTAGAAGTGTCCTAGAAGCCCTGGCAAGTCACTGTCGAGCTTGGCTGGCATTTGCAGGGTACCTTGTTCACATTCACCCCGCCAAGCTCATTGATGCACTACATCCAGGGCCTAGCAAGGCACTCTCCGTCTCCAGCGTGGTCCACGCTAAACAAGTAAGACGTCAACCAGACAGGGAGGATTCTCCAAGTTTTGCCAGAAAATCAGTGTGCTGTCTATCTTTCCTCTCTCCTAGAGTGTTTCACAGCCAATGGTGTGGACTACAGGGGGACACAGAACTGGACGGCACTGCAAGGCGGGAAACCATGTCTGTTCTGGAACGAGACTTTCCACCATCCATTCAACACTCTGAAGTACCCCAACGGGGAGGGCGGCCTGGGCGAGCATAACTATTGCCGGTAAGACGGGGCGCTGTACCTAATAATCTCTGCTCTCTTCTTCCAGCCCCTTCCAGCCCCACTCACCATGAGGGAAAGCTACCTTGGCTCCTTTTTGGCCAACTCAGGAAGCCTTTCTTGTCACTATTTTTTTAACAGCTGTCTCCCAAACCCTACATACACACACGTATACACTCGTACAATCTACTGCTCTCTTCAACTGCCTTGCTTTGATGCTGGCTGTCAGGCCACTGCTGTCCTGTCGATCACGTACTTGTCTCTGGGAGGGTTTCCTAGCTGGCCCTACCACCCGTGGAACATTCGCAGCTGTGAAGGTTTCGTTCAGATCATCTGGGCCCAAGTAGCAAAGGAAGCTGTCTGCCTTCACCCACCTCCAGCCAGCCCAGGATGATCTCAGGAGCAGCTGTGTACCATCAGATTTGGGCTGTTTACTTGTTTTCAGTGGACAAAAGAGAAAGCAGTGTTTCTTTTCTTTTTCACTTCCTGTCTGACTCTAGCAAGGGCTCTGTTTTTTGAGACAGGGTCTTACTTTGTTGCCCAGGCTGGGCTTGAACTTCTGGGTTCAAGAAATCCTCCTGCTTTAGACTCCTGACTGGGACTTGAGGCAAGCACCACCATGCTGTCTGCTTTTCCCAGGAACTCTGACGCCCGCATGGTTGGGGCTCCAGATGTGCATTCACTCTTCCATGGTTTTCATCAGCCTCTCTGTTCTGCATGGTGGGAAACAAGCTAAGAATCGCTGGCAGGTAGGAACCAGAAAAAGATTCTAAGCACCGTAGGATATCCCTGTTAGCTACTTAAACAAGGTCCTGAGAGTGTGACTCGAGGTTCAGCAGTGTACTGAATTTATTCATCATTAGGACAGGTGCAAGGTCCACCTCTTAAGCCATGAGGACAGGGAAAAATGATTGCTGAGTTCCACTCTGAGTGCCACCCTCTGTCCCTTCTGCTGCTGGTGTGTGGCATCTCAACCCTATGGCCCTGGTGACTCAGCTGATCCTCTCCTGGGCCACACTGTTTACCTTCTGCTCTCCTCTGTACCTGTGCTAGCCTTCTGGGGCTCTTGTGGCTGTTTTGAGGTCACCAGGCCACCTTTCATCCTGGCACCTTCAGCTCTTTCTGTTACCTCTATCTTGACTCATATTCCCTGGTCATCCTCCCCTACTTGCTGTTGCTACGTTTTTCATTTGTTAAAGTATTAAAAACGTGCTCTGAAATTTTTTCTCAAATGCTGCATGTGTTTATTGTTTACATAGCTGACATTTCCCGTTTTGTCTCTTTCCTTGAATTCCTGCCCACCAAGTCCAGCCATTCTGCATGCACTATTTACCATTTGGCTGTCTTTTGTATTTTATTACTAAAGTTACATATGCTCATTAAACAATTCGTTTTCGTTCTATTTTCAAAGTTGTACATAGTAATTTAATTTTTTGCATAAACAGAACAATGAGTCCCATTCTATTTCTGGTATGTTTTCTTCCCCTGAGTTTTCTATTCATAGGAACAGTTGCGTTGGGAAGGATGTTCAGGCAGAGAAAGGAGTGTTCTCCTCTTTTTGTTCAAAAGTCTGTCTCCATCTTTGTTTGTTTGTCTGTCTGTTATGCAGGGCTGGGGAAGTGCTCTCCCACTGAGCTGCACCCTGCCCCTAGAGTGTTTTGCTAGTAGTCTCTTGGTTCTTTTTTTTTTTTTTTTGGTGGCACCGGAATTTGAACTCAGGGCCTCACACTCGCTAGGCAGGCACTCTACCACTTGAGCCACTCTGCAAGCCCCTTTTTGGGTTGGGTATTTTTGAGATAGGGTCTCATGAACTATTTGTCCCTGCTGTCTTTGAACCGAGATTCCTGATCTCTGCCTCCCGAGGAGTTAGGATTGCAGGCCATGATTGGCCATGGAGCCCGGCCTCTCGTTTTAGGTTTGCTTTCTCAAGTCTTCTCAGAAGAGCTGTTAAATCCAACTTTAAGGCAAGTTTAAATTTTCCAATGAGGCTTAATTTATATGGAAAACATTTTTCTTTCCCAATGGATCAGCACCTGTGTCTACACACAGGCCCTCAGACACCAGTAAATACCATTGCAATGCAGGAGGGCCAGAAGCACCTGTCCCCTTAGCCCTGGTGGCTCAGCCCTCTCTCGTTTGATTTGATGGAATGTACCAGACCTGAATTACCAGTTTCTGCTTGAAACCAGGAGGTTGGAATTGATGGTTATCACACTGGAGCCCAAGCCTTTTGTTTTAGCGCTGCAGTGAAGTAAGGATGAATTACTTGTTCTTTATGTAGCTGTCGTGATGCTTTTCAGAGTGGCTTTGACATTGATAATAAACAGTTGTTTTCTAAGGGCTTTACCCAATACTACATCAAAGCTGAGCCCCGACTAGAGGGAGGAAAATGACGGTGAATACTGTTTAAAGAAGGGCTTTGTACCAGTTCTCCTGCTTGGGTTTCCCAGCTGACACCCGACACCATGTTTGTCTTGTGCAGCTTTTCAGACCCATCCCATCTGAGATGTCTGAGAGTGGGTGAGGGATGGGAAGTGCTCTTGTGCAGAGAGTGGGAAGAGCAGAGCTGGCGCTGGCACCTGCCTGTGGGCACAGAAATGAAAGGACTCCTTGTGCCTGGGGAAGCTTATCTTTCAGGCCACACAATGGGCTTATCCGCTTGGGCCTGATAGGGGTTGCTCCACAGCCTGGCTTGGGGTCTTTATGCCCATTTCCGGCCTAACTGGAGTGTCGGGTTTCCAGTGTTCTGAGTCCACCTAAAAGCGGTGAGGGGAGGGGAGGCTTCTGAGTGACCAGTAGCCCCTGCCATTTGTGCTCCACTTCAGCAGTGTCACCCTTGGTTGTCATGATGATGGCTGAGTAGGAAAGACCAAAAGGAAATGTATTTATTTCAAGCCGTTCTCATGTGTGAGTGTGGAAGAAAACCTTCAAAATTATTATCGCCATATCAGAAGTTAGGGCCAGGATGACAGAATCTAACAGAGACTCCGGCTGGTGTCCTGGTTTCCTCCGTAGTCTCAGGGGTTTGGGTTTTGAGGAAGGAGTAGAGTCTGTTTCTATCAAGGAGGAGTTGACTAGCCTGGTCTTGGTGGAGCTTACCACAGGAGTCAACAGCACAGGAATTGGACCTTATTGTTTAAAAATTGCATAGTTGGAATACTCATTAGTGAGAGAGTGAGAAAATAAAACCAGTGAAGAAAAACATTGAAATCAGATAGACATTTTTTTTTCACTGATTAAGGAATTTTTATTAAAGCAAAAATTTTATGAATTTAGTGTATATCCTTCCCTAAATATATCTTTTCAGAATATGGGAGGATTGTCATTGTGTCATCTGTTTTTGTTTGGTTTTTTTTTTTGGGGGGTGGTAGCTTTCTTTTTTTTCTTTTCTTCTTTTCTTTCTTGATTTGAAACAGGTTCTCACTGTGTAGCCCAATCTGGCCTCAAACTTGAGATCCTCCTGCTCACAGCCTCCAGGGTGTTGAGGTTACAGGCGTGCACCACCACACCCAGCTTTATCTATGATCTTACAGCTACCTTTAAAAAAACAAAACAAGCTGGGCACCCATGGCTCACACCTATAATCCTAGCTACTCCAGCAACTGAGATCGTGGTTCCAGGCCAGCTGAGCAAAAAGAGTTTTCAAGACTCCATCTCAATGGGAAAATGCTGGGTGTGGTAGTCATGCTGTCACATGGTGGGAAGTGTAAAACAGGAGCCTAGTGCTCCAGGCTGACCTGGTCAAAAAGCAAGACTGTCTCCAAAATAAGCAGAGCAGAAAAGGGCTGGAGATGCAGCTCAAGCCTTACAAGCACAAAGCCCAGCGCTCAAACCGCAGTACCACCAAGAACAGCAACAACACAGCCCAAGAAAACACAGGGAGTGTCTTTCCATGTTAATAATCCCTTGTGTGGATATGCCATACTTATTGATTGGGTATTTGCTAGTTCCAACTTTTTTATATTATAAAATGCTTTCTTGAACATTTTTATAAGTCAAGATTTCATTAGAGGAAATTGCCAATTAAGAGAGCATGTTTTTGGGGCCTTTGACTCTTAATTGCCAGGTTGCCATGGGCCTGTCCAGGTGACAGCCTCCATATTGGAGCACCTGTGTTCACTCAGCTCCTGCAGTCTTCACCTTCAGGTGCCAGTGTCTGGCGTGACTGGGTTAGTCACCAGTTGTCCTCACTCTACTGTAGTGGATGTGTTTTCACACTTGCTCTCTGCTCACCCTCTGAAGCATACATCAGTAGTGTCATGTTTTCCACTTGGATGAGTTGACACTGAGATTCATACAATTATTTCACATAACACAGAATCCAAAGCAATTCTGTTCTGTAAAACTGCAAAGCCATAAGCCTGTGACTTAAAACACAGCAATGTCACGGGTTGTGTCCTTTTCCCCGACAGAAACCCAGACGGAGATGTGAGTCCCTGGTGCTATGTGGCGGAGCATGAGGACGGTGTCTACTGGAAGTTCTGCGACATTCCTGCCTGCCAGAGTAAGACTCATGCTTTACACAAGGCTCCAGCTGTCCTAAGTGTGGGGTGAGGCCCCTGCCCTGGGCAGGTAGCCCATGGGGACTTCCCTGTCGGGTCCCAAATGCCCACCTCCACGCTGCCCTCTCCAGGGGTGGCCCCACATGGTGTGCCCAGTGAGACCCTCACCCTTACTTCATTTCCTCATGCTGGTGCTCTCATAGGGAGGGAGGGCACCAGCTCAGCAGCAGGGAATGGGGACAAGGTATCTTGCACTTTTTGAAACAAGTCTTGGGGGATGAATTTTTTTAGAATGGAGCTTTTTAACCATGGTGAGACTGAATTATGACACTTGTGTTATAGTGTCTGGAACTTGTTATGCTGGAGTTCATTTGGTTTCAGGTCCCTGAGAAATGGTACTGAGAGGGAAGACTGTGTGCGAGTTACCAACATAGAATTTAGAATCTGCATTTAAAATTTTATGTTGTTGTTATTTGAAGTTTCTTCCTTTTTTTTTTTTTTAAGCCGTACTGAGGGGTTGAACTTGGGGTCTTGAGCTTTCTAGGCAAGCATTCTACCACTTGAGCCACTCGCCAGCCCCCTCCTACTCCTCCTGCTCATTATTATTATTATTATTATTATTATTGTTATTACAGTGCTGGGGGTCAAATTCAGGGTGCTGTGCCTAGGCAAGCCCTCACAACTGAGATGACTTCCAGCCCCAGAAGGTATTTCTAAACACGCCAGAGGAGCAGGGTTTCTCAGTGCCTACAGCTGAAGACAGGGCTGTGCGTCCAAAACCAGTCCGCTGGCTTGGAGAGGAGGGGCATGGAGGGTTGTGTGGAATCTGGGCCCCTCTGCCCCATGCCTCCCCTCGGCAGCCATCTGAATGCCAGTGCCCCAGGGGAAAGAGGAGGGCAGCCGAGCCTTGAGCCTCGAGCCTCGAGCCTCGAGCCTCCAACTTCCCAGCCTCACCTTTACTCTCCTTCTAACCTGAGTGTGCCGTGATTCAGTCCCCAGATTGAGAAAGCTGTAAAGACCATAGGACGGGCTGTTGCTGTCTGCTTAACCAGATTTTCAAAATAAAAAATAAATAAAGAAATAAATAAGACATTTTGTTTGACTCTCATGAGGTAAAGAAGAAAGGGTAGAGGAAGGAAAGCAGCTTTTCCTCAGTTCGTTTGCTCTGCACAAAGATGGTTTTTTAGCCCAGCCCGTGTCACTCTCAGGGATGTAGAGGCGGGGCTTCTGTGTGGGCACTTTTATTCAGAAGGGTAATCTTCAAGCACATCTAGAAAATACAGTGTGGGCCAGTGGGAGAATTCTCCAGGAGGGAGAATTATGGTGAAGTAACACAAACTACCCAGTGTACTCCTAACTTGGCATGGTCACCAGATATTCCTCATTGCTCCAAGAAAGGATTAAATACGATTTCCATTTTCTCTGATGGTCTAGGTAGGAGACGTGCAGAAGCTGCAAATGAGAACCCAGTCATACCTGGTTTGGGGTGGAGGGTGGGAAGTGGCTGCTTGGGTTCTTTGGAAAACCCTTCTGTTCACCCTGCAGGTACCAGAGCTCCCCTCAAGCTGAACCCCTGAATATTGTGCATCTAACTCACATGGTTGAGGAAAAACTCCAGTGCTATTTGTAGCAAGAGACCTAGGTAACAGCCTGGCAGGTATAACCGAGATGCAGCTTGCTTCTGCTGGTCCAGTTTTGCCCATTTCTGGATGTGGTCCTAATTTTTGTGAATAATACTAAGCCTCTATGAAGCGCCAGTTCACGATTAGCACTGAACTTGTCATACCGGCAAGGCCTGTGACATGATCGGGTTTCTGCAAAGTTCACATCTGAACGCAACAGGCCCAGCAGGAGCCAGAGGGAATGAATGTTGAGGACGAAGCAGAGTCAGGCTGAGAGGTGGGGCACTGTGTGCACACATGTTATGAGAAGGGGGCAGAGAGGAGGGATGACACAAATGGGGACAAAGAGAAATTGGAACCGTGCTCTTGCCCTGTGGAGTACCATTGCGTGTACTGTTGAATGGAGCCCGCCTCTGAGGGAGTTGAATTTGCCCCTCTAACTGCTTCTGCCCGTGTATGTCTCAGAACCCCAAGTTCTTTTTGTAGCTAGGAGAAGTACAGGTGTAAAAGCAAATTCCAAGCTCCTCCAGTTGAATGCTCCAGCTAAGGGGAAACCATTTGGCCTCATGTCCTTTGCGTATCTCTCCCTGTTAGACAACCTCTCTCACCGTTGTAATTCCCTTTATCTCACTGCTTGTGAGGGCCTTTCCATGGCTTTTGCTTTGCTCTCTTTTACTTGTAGATTCTTAGATTCTTTCTTTTTCTTTTTCTTTTTTTGGCTGCACTGGGGTTTGAACTCTGGGCCTCCACTTGCGAGGCAGGCGCTCTACCATTTGAGCCATGTCCTCTGCCATTCTTGCTTTAGATATCTTGCAGTCAGGGTCTTGAAACCCTATGTCATGGCGTGGCTCGCGTGGTAGAGCACTTGTGAGCTGGAGCCCCTGAGTTCAATCCCCAGCACCACTAAGAAAACAAAATGAGGGCTTGGGTGGGGGAGAGAGGACCAGAGGAAACCAGAGTTTTCTGTTTTGAAAGGGGATATTTGTTGATGCTGAGTGATTGAGTCATTACTCTTACCTACTTTTGCACATGTTTGAAAGCTTACATTATTATAAAAAACCCCAAATTTTCAATTAAGTTTATAATATTTTGAATATTAAAATACTCATTGAAATATGTAACGTGATTGACGTACATTGCTGGGGATGCACCCCAAGGTTCTCCCTTGGTAGGTCGGTGCTCTACCACTGATCTGTACCCAGCTCCTGTAATCTTGTACATAGAGTGCACAGGTGTCAGGTATTGTTAAAGTTAGTCATTAAAGTTTTAGTTACTGAACTTTTTAAAATAATTAGTTGTTTAAAGTTATTGAAACTACTCATTATTGAGATAGTTGTTAAAGTTTAAAGTCACAGGAACTTCAGAAGTTGTTACCTGCAACAAATGATATTTCTTAAACTCTGACCATACACCAGACCTTGCACCAAATGGGGACACAAGGATGTGGGGAGCCCCCAGTCTAGGACAGAAGACAGACACATGAACAGGCGAACATATGCAAGATACCTATATTAAGTGAGGTTGGCAGAGGGTTGGGAACCCCAAAGACAGCATCTACGCAGGTACAGTGGGGGACTGGGGCCACTGGTTGTCAAAGAGGACCTCTGGAAGACATGGGGTCAGCGCAGGGCTTCTCAACTTTAAGATGCATGCGATCTCCTGAATTCTTTTAAATATAGGTTGTTACTCAGTCGTTCTGGATGGGCCTGAGTGTCCACACGCGTAGCAAGTTCCTGAGATGATGGAGCTGCAGGGCCGCGCTGTAAACAGTGAGGTGCTAAACCTTAGGGTTGGATGGGTGGGGAGGGCAGCACGGAGACAGGGGGAGCAAGACTGTTCCCAGTGTGTGCTTTCCAGCATTCTGTCTCTAGCGCCCCCGTCCCTTCCCTCTTCTCTCATGAATTCCAAAGTCAGTACTACTGAAACACAAACTTTAAGAAGGAGAGGACAGGAGATGAGGTCTGAGAAGACAAGGCCAGAAGATCTTGTGACCTGCTGGAGTCTGGACTTTACCTGGGACACTGGCACTGAGGCCAAGGACATGCTGATTTGGAAGGAGGCATTTCTCCCTGGCTTCTTAAGGAGGTTGGAGGGAGATTTCTCCTCTCTTATCCTGTCACTGAGATTCTGAGATTCTGTCACTCATGTGGCCTGTCCCTGAGTGCAGGCCATGATGGCTCCTCTGCCTCATGGAGCTCCAGGTCCATCTCAGCCAGAGACCTCACCAGCTCAAGTTCTCGTAACTAAACAACATCCGGCCTGGTTACAGTACTTCTTGTTCCTTGGCTGTTATATTTGCCTTATCTAGTGACACCTAACGAACAGTACATGAAGCCTCCAAGTCGCTAATTGGGATCCTGGTAAGAGTTTTGAAAGCTCCGTGAAGAGTTTGAGTAGAAAGCCTTGGCTGGGGACGCCACTCAAGTGGTAGACAAGCACCTGCTTAGCAAGCTTGAGGCCCCGAGTTCAAACCCAGTACCACAAAAAAAAAAAGTTTGAGTTGAAAGCCAAGGGCACTTTGGCAGTGGTAGGCAGGGTGGCCCATCAGTGACAGACAGCTTTTTCCCCATCAGTGCTTTCTGCATGTCGATTTCTTGTGTGCGTCAGCCATGCAGGGACCATCACCTACAAAGCACGCTCACACATTACCCATCCAACCTCTTCAGCAGTCCTAGAAAGCAGGCAGAGGGTCCATGCTCCAAGGAGAAGCGGGATGGTCACACGATCTGATGAGGCTCAATGCTGACTCCTGAGAGCAAGCCCAGTGCCTTTTCCTTCCAGTACTGAGAACAGCTCCGTTTCCTTTACTTCCTTGAAAACAGGGGCCCTGGGATGGATCCAGGCTACCAGAGAGGTCATTGCTCAGAAATGCCTTTGTGGATCGTTTGGGAATTAAAGTTTGAAATTCAGAGAGTATGCTGAATTACCGAGACTGCCTTTTTGCCATCTTGGAGACCAAAGGATTAACTCAGTGGCGACAGAAGGTCTGCAGTTTGTGCTGCAGCTCTAAGTCATTTTCTTTCTTCTCTGGGTCTGGGAAATCCCAAGCTCGGGGAGCAAGGCACACTCCCCAGGAAGCAGGAGCTGCTCTGGAGGATCGGGGTTCTTCAGGCTTCCCGGGCCTGGACCCTCCTCTGCCCAAAACACCCTGGGCTCGGGGTCTCTCCCCTCACTGCTGTAGGTTGAGGTCCACCTGCTCTCAAAAGAGGCAGCTGTGTGCATCAGTTACACTTTACAGCTAGAATGAAAAGCAGGACTGATTTTTGTTTGGGTTTTTTGGTGGTGCTAGGGTTTGAACTCAGGGTTTCACGCTTCAGCCACAGCCTCAGTCCCCCACCTCACAAGCAACATTGAAAGAGACATGAATAATACAAATTATG